TGTCCATGAGATCTGCCCTGGAGTTGGGGGTGGAGGGAGTGGTGGGTGAGGGAGGGGTGGTGGGAGTGGTGGGTGAGGGAGTGGTGGGTGAGGGAGTGGTGGGTGAGGGAGGGGTGGTGGGAGTGGTGGGAGTGGCGGAGCCCCAGTGAGGTGCTTGAGCCTGGGAGCAATGGGGAGGTGGCAGTTGCCGTTGCCACTGGTTTCTGTCGTTCCTCGCTCCGTCCCTCTCGGCGTCTAGCTCTCTCTCTCTCTCTCTCTCTCTTTTTCCCTCACCTCTCTCTCTCACTCTACCTCTTTTATCGCTTTCTTTCTCTCTATTTATGTCTCTCAATGTCTCTCAGATTCGCTCTTTATCAATGTCTCTGCTTCTGCTCTTTGCTGCTTCTCTCTCTCTCTCTCTCTCTCTCCCTCTCTCTTTTTCCCTCACCTCTCTCTCTCACTCTGCCTCTTTTATCACTTTCTTTCTCTCTATTTATGTCTCTCAATGTCTCTCAGATTTGCTCTTTATCAATGTCTCTGCTTTTGCTCTTTGCTGCTTCTCTCTTTCTCTCTACCTCTCTCAGATTATCTCTTATCTCTTATCGCGCCCCCATATATTCCCCTCTCTCTCTTCACCTTCCTCTGTCTCTATATCTCTCGCTCATCCATACCATCGGCGTGGCGGCCGTCTGCGTATCTCCGCGACATTGACGAGAAGCGGGAGGATGACCTTTTAAGGCGCCGTTGGAGGCTATATCACCACATTTAACTGCTCTAAATGATTCATGGAGCCCCACACAGTCATGGCTGCCGGCTTGAATACATTAGGCCTGCGTCTGGTGGCACTGACTGGCAGTGGAAGGAGTCTGTAAGCATTGTTGATTATGAAATACGATAAGAGGATGTCTGTTGCTTCGAAACAATCCCTGAACGGTTCGAAAGTCTACCTAGCCTTCCTAGCAACAACAACAAAACGCTATATGTGGGGTTTCTCAACAGACTGGATAAATAAGAGATGGTAAGCACTTCCAGATTCATAAAGATTTCAGTGGGAAGGGACGAGTGTCGCACTTTTTCGTCGACAGCAGAAATCCTGCTTTTCAGTACAGTAAGCGAAAGGGGAAAGAGCTGCTTGAGGAAAATAGGCGTGATGAATGCTCTCCACAGACACCTGAGAAAGGGCTTGAACCAAGATGCGGATCTTCTAAACCCGGTAATCACTCGCAGGAAGCGTTTCGTGGCTCAGAATATGGATATTTGGCGCAGAATTGTGCTTCTCCGAACCCGCAGAAATCAAAAAGCTTTCAACTTTTCCACATTCATTAGCCCACATACAGAACGAACTTCATGCAACAGTCATCCTTAATACACACATGTATTCATTGCTATCATGCACTATACCCGATCCCAATTCTTGCTATTTTGCAAGTGGAACTCGTATCATTTGGGCCAATTTGCTAACTGAATCTGCCGGACCACTAAAGTTTGGAAAAAGCACAGTGTGCACAACTAAGCATAGCGGTGTGGCCTGTTTTGGACTAATGTAGCAATGGGCTGTATGTATTCTGTTGGACCTGGGCGATGTAACCTGTTCTGGATCTGGGCGATGGAGTCTGTTTTGGACCTGGGTGATGGAGTCTGTTTTGGACCTGGGCGATGGAGTCTGTTTTGGACCTGGCCGATGGAGTCTGTCTTGGACCTGGGCGATGGAGTCTGTTTTGGACCTGGGTGATGGAGTCTGTTTTGGACCTGGGTGATGGAGTCTGTTCTGGATCTGGGTGATGGAGTCTGTTTTGGACCTGGGTGATGGAGTCTGTTTTGGACCTGGGTGATGGAGTCTGTTTTGGACCTGGGTGATGGAGTCTGTTCTGGATCTGGGTGATGGAGTCTGTTCTGGATCTGGGTGGAGTCTGTTTTGGACCTGGGTGATGGAGTCTGTTTTGGACCTGGGCGATGGAGTCTGTTTTGGACCTGGGCGATGGAGTCTGTTTTGGACCTGGGCGATGGAGTCTGTTTTGGACCTGGGCGATGGAGTCTGTTTTGGACCTGGGCGATGGAGTCTGTTTTGGACCTGGGCAACGTAGTCTGAGGTCAAGGTGAAAAAGCCTTCAAAGCAGCTCTTTTCCACAACAATGTTTCAAAATGCAGAGCCGTCCTTCACCCATTCTCCCAGTCCCATCTCATTAGCATTGCTCCTCAGGGCCTCCTTCTTCATTATCTGACCCCCTGCTGGTCACCAACACCCCCCACCAACCTGTCACCCTCCTCGCTGTCACTTCTCCTCCAGCACCCCCCACCAACCTGCCACCCACCTCTCCCTCGCTTCTCCTCCAACACCCCCACCACTAAACCCAAAAAGGTCACCTTGCTGTGCCCTGTCCAATTGCCTCTCTCCTGGTTTCCCTGTTTATGGAATACAGATTATTTCCAGATCTAACATGTGAGAATGATATATAGCAGTTACAGTATGTATGTATGTAAATGTATGTATGTATGTGTGTGTGTGTGTGTGCGTGTTTGTGTATTTATGTGTATATATATATATATATATATATATATACATATGTATCATGTATGAGCGTGTGTGCATGTGTATGTGTGTGTGTATGTATGACAGTGTGTGTGTGTGTGTGTATGTATGACAGTTTGTGTGTGTGTGTGTGTGTGTGTGTGTATATGTGTATAGTTGTAGCAAACAATTCTACCCAAATCACGTAGTCCACGCAATCAAGTCATCTGACAGTTTGCATTCCTATGATTGATTATGCGATCATTTATGACTCCCCAGCAGACCGTATGCGTACCTAATACATGACTGGTTTGCTTCAGCAACCAATCAAAAGCGCTCACTCAAACGTCCCACATGATAACGAGCCGTTGTGATTGGTCGGTCAAATAAAGTACATCTTAAGCATAACATTTTCTGAAACATAGCGTTGCAAATAGCGTCATACAACGCAACTTTTTTTTGGTGTGCTACTGTAAAATTTGATCGAAATGGAGCATTTAGATCCAAATGCTCCCTTAAGCAAAATAATACAAAATATTTATCCATGTATAACCTGGCGCTACGAAAGCTGGAGAATACTAAAATACACATTGCTCGACGTATCCTGACGCTGCACCCAGTACAGTCACAAACACTTCCCATCATCAACATCATCACCAGAGAGACACCCACCACCAGAAGCTCTTGTCTCTCTTCCCATTATTATCATTCTAGGTATGGCGGCGTTCAGTCTAGTGGCAGAGATGGGGGAGTGGGGGGGGGGGGGGGGGGGGGGTTCACAAACTCATAATATCTGGAATCCCAGAGATAAGGCAGCCTTTCATTAACAGGCTCAGTGGGAGCGTTCACACACACACACACACAACCCCCACCCCCCCGCACACACACACACACACACACACACACACACACACACACACACACACACACAACCCCCCCCCCCTTCCCTGCACACACGCACACACACACACACATTTCTCCTCCAAGGCTCATCTGTCTTGCTCTGTCATCTGGGTGTGGCGAGAAAGCCATAATGTCGTGCCATGATGAAAGCTAAATTGTGTATTTCTTCTCGTTCTGGGGCGTTAGGAATCACAGTAGAACGACGCCATACTATTATACTGGATCACACTATATCATTCTAGGTGCGACCGTTTATTTAAACGTGTGTAAGGTAGGAGTAGGTGTGACGTGATCTTGATTGATTATACCAGATTGTGCTAAATCATACTAGTTCACACTATCTGGTTTCCATATTCTGCGGTCAGTAAACAAACCTGGAAAAATAATTTAGAAAATCAAGAACAAGGTCTGAACCTAAAAGAGTATCATCATTTAATATAATTTATATTCTTGGCGCACAAAATTGTTTTCAAACGAACCAAATGGTTTAACAATGTAAAAAAAAAAACCATTTTCAATCAAACCATGATAAGTCAACAGATGTATGTTTTGGTGATGGTTTGGTGATGGTTAGTAGACGGTAACCTTTAAATGGCAGACATTTCAGAAAATACATCTACTCTAAATGAGCTCTTTTACAGAGAGCGTAAACAGTTTAAATCGCAATACAGACCTACATTTCACTATCCTGCGGGTGACGGCCCAACCCTGGGCTTAAACCAGAGGACAGTCACTGTGTGCTAGTATTACCAGATACACTTACTTTCGACTTGAAATGTGGGTTACACAGAAAAACCCATTATTTTATGTTATCGAGTTTATCTATCATTTCACCTCGGGCGATAAACCACTTAGAGGACATAGCCAAGGATGGTTGAGGACAAAAAGAAAAACATTTCAACTATGTCTGTGGGCATATTCTGTTCATTTAACATTGGCAGAACATGATGTCCCTATTTAGTCACATGTCTAGAAGCCATGCATAGGAAATACATATCTTATTGACCACAGCTGTAGCAGCAGAGAAGACTACATGGCAACCTGGTAGTGCAATGCAGTCTTGAAATGGCTTGATTACTTGCGAAACCCACTTCCTCCCTCACTCCTAGAAACGTAATAACTCAAACATAATAATGTAAAGAATTTAAATCGATGGGAATCAGTCCTGTGATCTCACTCTGCCCTTGTGTGTGTTTATGAATTCAATCACAGGCACACACGCACACACACACACACACACACAGACGGACAGACATGCACACGCACACTCCATTTTTGGTTATGCTATCCGGGAATAATTTCATCTTTCGGGGGGGCTGCGAAATAAAATATTTACAATTTTTCCCAATCGCTTAGGTACACTTCCCGCAAACGCTCGACTCACACTCCAAACACGGCGCAATTCTCAAAACAGTGAAAACCACACGCATCCAAATCACTCCAACACACTCGCTCTCTGGTGACCCCGCTTGATCACCGCATAAACACTGAGTCAGAAACTCCCAAACATTTGCGTCACGACCGGAAACACTGGATATGCTGCCCTCGACTCAACAGACGGCAGCACGCACAGACTCTTCAGATAAGAAGAAAGTAACGGAGAATGGGACTCAGGATAATCTAGCGGTTAGGATGTTTGACTCCCAGCCAAAAAGGTCTGGGTTCGATCCCTGTAAGCATCCTTGAGAAGGATGCCTAACCCGCTTCCTGCTCCTTAATGACATGCATCTGAATTCACTGTAAGTCGCTTACAAAATGACAAAAATGATAAAGCAACAACCAAAAAGATGAGTACACATCATGCAGGTTTGTGCTCGGTCACTTAGTGTAATAATGTCGCATGTCGGCCTTTAATCCTCTTGGGCCAAATGACTCTCCTAATTCCCATGATGCCCCAGTGCATGATGACAACCAAAGAGACCCGTTGACGCGGGGGCAGCACTTCAGGCCGCTCGTTGGATGGCGTGAGATCTCGCCAGTAACACATTTCCGTGGTACAGTTACTCAGATTAGGTATTTAGGTCAAAAAACTCAAAGGCTTACCGCAGCAAAATGGATTATCTCATTGGTCGCCAGAGACAGTCAAGTACGGCAAAGTACAAGTTGAAAAAACAAACAGCTGTATGTTGTTGTTTTAATGGAGTTAAAGCGTTCACAATTATCTGTTGGGATTATGAGTAATTGATCTGGAAGGTGATACACCATATGCACTCATCGTCTCCTCTTTGGGGTTTCCAGTGAAAAGGTTTTAGTGGGTGAAATACCTGCGTAATCAGAAGACTTCATCTTTTTTTCCCATAACACTTTCACTTCAGATTCTCTTCAGCTCTGGGGACGGCCACAACAATTCCTCTGGAAAGGTGGATGAAGCCATGAAATCAAAAATAATGTAAAAACTCAATCTCAGCGTCTGCCTTCCAGTCCTGAGACTCACAGGTCAGTCTCTAAATGTTTCGCTCAACTAGAGACCGAGGATAATCTTCATGGTTTCGTTGCTAAAACTGGGGGGAAACATTGAGCGAGTTTAATGATTGGTTCTGCATTGCAGAACCAATCAAAAGTCTATAGGGCGGCCCTTCATATTGGGGCGGTGACACGCAGAAATCGTGTGTGCTTGTCAACACTGTCGTACCAGCAACACTCTTGCCGCCGTTCTAGCAACTTACTTACATTTAGAAATCCCCCCCAGACGATTGGTAGTCGGCGAGATCTTCATGACTAGATAGTCTGGTATCGCCAGACTATCTAGTCCCATCCAAATCCCCATCTTGGTTCGTCAACCATTAAAAAACTACCACAACCTCTAAAGCACTACAAGGACCTTTTTGTTTAAGTGGTACGGCACTTGATCCCATATCTCACTTGAACCCTCGTTCTCTCATTCCTTTTTTTTCCTGTGATATTGACCTTCAAATATCACAGGATTGTAATTACACTGCCGTGGCAGGCCGATCCAGACTTTTAAAAGGCCACGCTAGTCCCTCATAAGGGCACTCTTCAATCATCTCGCCGTCCCACAATGCACCGCTTCTTGTAAGAGAGAGAATGTGGAAAACTTCATATATTGAAATGTCCCTGGCTAACCTGAGTATGACGTTATGAGCGCTTTGAAGCATTCAGAGTAGAGAGACCATGAATGTCTCACTCCCAACACTCAAGACCCAACTCAATACTGATTTTATTTATTATTAATGTTGCTGTATTTATTTTTTTCTCTTTGGCCCCTAGTGCTCAATAAGGGTGTACATACTTTAATTAGACGCCAGTCTCCAAGCGTCGGGTCACACAAACACTGTTTATATTAATATCATTTGAGCCATCCAAACCTATTTAAAGACCGTCCTAATGGGGGGGGAACGTGTGTGAGCATATATTCAACACCACTTCACTTTGGTACGTTTCAAGCGGTGACAGACCCCCAGGAGAGGAAACAACATGGATATATTCTGTAAATATGGAACAGGTTAAGAGATTAATATTAACATTCCTATCCTGATACCCCAAGGGCCTCCTCTCTATCTCTCCCCCTGTCTTTCTCTATCTCTTCTCATGACTGTTTATCTATCGTCTGCCTCTCTTTCTCCCCTTGGCCTTTCTCACTCTCGCTGACTCTATATCTATTGCTCTGTCTGTTTTTGTCTCTCTGCCTCTCTCTGTCTGTCTGTCTGCGTCTCAGTTCAATCTAGCTGTCTCTTTCATTCTCTCCCTGTCTGTCTGTCTTTTTCTCTCTCTCTCTCTCTCTCTCTCTCTGTCTGTCTCTCTTTCTGAGTCTCTTCCTATCTTTCTCTATCCCCCTCTGTGTCTCTCCGAGTTTATCATGCTCTTTTTTCCTTCTGTTCCTCGTCTTTCTCTCTATCTCCCTCACTTTGTCTCTATACGTCTATATGTCTGTCTGTTTGTCTGTCTGCCTGCCTCCCACACCCTGAGTCACTCTCTATGCTTCTTTCTCAAATCAATTCAGTTCAATCCCCCCCCCCCCCCCATCCCCCTCTCTCATCAGCTGACTGGGAAGGCGAGGAGGTAACGTGTCTCCCCTCTCTTTTATTTGGGTTGCCATGGCGATGACGGTGGAGGAGGGGCGATGAACTGAAAAAACTGTTATAAGCCCCCCCCACACTGTTTCTCTGTCACTTGACAACCGAGCATTGGTTGAAATAAAAAAACCTGTGTTCGGTCGCCTGCTTCCTTCCTTGCAAGACTGACTGGCTGCGTAATCAATGGCAGAACTCAAAATGAGTCATTCATTCGCTTCTATAAAGTGACATTCTGCACAATTCAGGCACTTTAACTGTGACACACAACAGGAGACGCTATCCAGTATGACATCAAGTCACTGCTGCTTGGCGTTTATTCAACGATGATCTCGACTCCATTATTACATTACAACACTTTTCCTAGTAAGAAGAATCTGAATGGACCCATTGGAGATTTTTGTCTAAGTCTTATGTTGTTTTGGTCCCAAATATCATACTTAACATTACAACATAGTCCTTCCTACTGCAGGATTTTAAATAAATGAATACATTATGTTGGTATAACCCATATTAAAAACATAATTGTTCAAATGTAACATCATCATTACAGCCATTCCTTCTCTACGCTGCTATCGGTCAGGTGATCTGTGTTTTATTCTTTCTCGGGCCGTTCAGTACCGCCTGAAGGAAGATACAACACAAAGACCAGTTATGTTCCTTACTGTTACGCTATTAATGACGCAAGTCAAATATAGATAGGCCGAGTATTAGGAACACGCACTTATTTTGATAGTGTGAAGTGAGGATAGTGTTGTGAGGAAGGAGAAATGAATATTCAATGGCCCTGGGGAGAAGGAGGCAGGAGCTTTTAAGGCTAGGACTATTTATTTAGGCCGTGCTGTTCTTATCCCTTATTCTATTCTTGTTCATACGGGAAGGTGGAAAAACACACAAACATATTCTCTAACTTTTTCCTGTACCTAATTGTACTTGAAGCGCTGGCCATGGAAGCGGTGTGGGCTTCAGGAGTAAGTACAGGCCGTGTTCACAAACCTCTTCTCAATGTCTCCCCATATTGTAAACCAAAACAAAAAGACAAACAAGATAAGGATTGCGGTTGCAAGTGTTTTTTGTTATCTTGCAAATTCCGAGTGCGGCAGAGACTGGGAGTCGAGGGAACAAGAGGGTGAGACCTAACAAGATGTAGGGAAGAAAGAAAGAAAAAACGCCTGAGGAAAACACAGAGGAAACAGGAAGATGAAGAACGATGAGATCCACTAAGTCTCCAGGTTTTAGTTCAACATCGAGACAGATAATTTTCCCTTACAAAACCGACAGAGACGTTTAATCATCTCGGGCACGCCGCACTCTCCCAATTACTCTCTTGTCAAACCGATCTCTGGCCTGTTGTTCTTTTAGCCCTACATACGCACCTATTTCAGAGATGCGGTTCTGTATTTGAATCTTCACTTCAAGATGGTAAAGGGTTTATACATCAGAATGCATCATGATATACTGTATTTTTGAGGACTGAAGAGAGTTGTACTACTGTAAAATCCTAAATCAACGTAAATATACTGTAACCAAGGCTACGTCTCGCATGGAGAAACGCTGTCTCCCAATAATGACAAATCATTTCACGATGAATTACTTGACCAAACAATGACCAAAAAACATTACTACCAACACAACTAACATTCAATGGTCCTATGCTTCCAAAATGGCGGCGGCAATTGCAATGTGACCTCACGATACACACACCCTATAAACTGTGTGTTTTGGGGAACAACTTGACCCAAACAAGGTTCAACCTTGGAGAGGAAATGAATCTTAGACTGTATGTCGCTGCACTGAAATGGTTCTTAGCTGCAGAAAATCCCCCTCAGGTTGGCTGAGAAATAGGATGTTGAATCAGGGGGAGATTATAATATTACCATATTATAATATTATGAAATCCATGTTAGAGGGCGGACACACATTGTTGATTTAAGAAATGTAAAAGAAGAACATTTGGTCACATGTATAAACATGAATAGAGAACATGTTGTGGGCCTATCGCTGTTTGAGTCAAAATAAAACACTATCATTGTTGGGCGGCAGTGACTGCCAAAGAAAATCGCTTGGATTGTAAACTCCCTTCCATTGGCACTCCATCAATCCCAACTTGTTGGCTATATTTCGAGAGATAATATTGCCCAGATGGTTTCGAGAGGAAAAAAACAAGATGCTACAGCATATTATCGCGAAGAAGAAAAAAAGTGTATAGGGTAAAGTCTTCAGTTGGACTGGAGAATCGGTCTATATGAATGAAGCACATAGGATGTGAAAGCTCCCCGGTCATTACACAAATCACTTTCATTTCTACTTTATGGCGTGAGTGAGCTCCTCTCATGTTTCTTATAGAGAATCGAATGAAGCGCTATTACCACCTGTCTCTATAGTGCATGTGGACGTCCACACCCTGTCCAGCTCCACCCTATTCCAATAATACTGCACCCAAGAGAACGACAAAAAGACACCTTAAAGATTTTGAAACGTTTTTAACAAATGCTACTATAATTTCTTTATTTTAAATTGTTATATATATATAATTTAATTTTCATTTTGTATCATTTTCTTTTTATTTATCATTATCATTATACATTCTAGTAGAAATGTACCCATGGAAAATCTTTGAAATCAAAAAAGCAAAGTTGGAAAAATAAAAGGCACAG